ATACAATTCCGGCGTTGACTTCATAGACATATAGCCATTTGTGCTGAAACCTTGCAGTAGATTTCAATGCTTTTTAGAAAGCAGAAAGCTTGTGGATTCCGAAACTTTTTACATTTGTGTACAAAATGGGTCATGTAGTCATAGGAGGAGCCAAGGTAGTGAGGTGTTATGTCGAGTTCAGGGATACATCCCCGAGGTAGCGGATATGTCCTCAAGGTTGCGACCACACCCGACTTGGTGAGGGCACCCATCTTCGCTCTGGACTTGTTGCACCCGGTCCCGCATCTCTTCAGAAGCCGTGTATTCGCAGAGTCATTTGCTGCTGAGAGGAGGGATCGCACCCCAATTTTTCTTGAAACCTCGAATGACCTTGCTGTGTCAGACTCATCTGGAAGGATAAAAACAGAGATTCAAATAACGGCCAAACTCGCAAAGGGTTGCGTAACAAAATCGCATTAAAATGATTAGTACGACTTCGAATGAAAGCGGAATGCGTAACACACCCCAGAGGAGCAACGCAGCGGGCCTTATCTTTCTTTCGTTGAAAATCCTGTCATAGTACCAGAGCACTTTGTCTCTTAACATCCTTTAGAATGGTTGTACTTTGAACAATTACTTCAATTATAATGTACATTTGTTATCATTTTTCATTCCCGAAAATGTCTGCGGGGATTTCGAAGTTTAAGAGATCTGTACGCAAACCTATAAAAGCCGCTACTATCGATGCAAATTATTGCTATAGCTGTTATTCGCTATTGGCGGAATACTATTATATAAACCCTTCTAAAAAAGCATAAGAATTATGAGTGATTAAGTGAAGCGCGTTTGATAGCCTATTGTCTCGGAACGCGCGGAATGCAAACTTATTTACAAAAACACACCCACAGGCACACAAATTTGGTCTGCGAACCAGTTCTCGTCATCAGGTTCGAAATGGGTGGTCTTTTCTCACAGGTGGTCTGTATGCACTCTGACTTCGGAAAAAAACCGCCACAAGCATCATATCACCTGCGCTACTGCTTTTTGATTGCAATGGGGGTTGAGACGATGGCTTCTCGTATCGAATCGACCTCCAGTCCAGTATTCCGGACTGGTGCAGCCAGTTTTTCGTTTCGTCGCGCCAACTGGCGCCATCGCTACCGACCGCGCCCGTTCGGGCTGAATAGCTGGATCTGAATCGGCGGTATCATATTATGGCGCATCTGCAGCCGTTCCGATACACCATAAATTGGCTAAACATTACGTTGCTAATTTGGGTGAATCCGAAACCAGACTCCGCGGCAGCAGCTCATTCTGATTGCGGGGGTTTTGTAGAAAACATCTAGCCCAAAGAAAATATCTATCACTTCACAGCTTAAAAGAAGTTCTAAAAAAGGAAAAGCTGTCGGTGGTCAGGTCGATCGTGGTGCCGAGAATCTTTGCCTTTTCGTAGGATACTATATTCTTTTTTGGACGTGCATGCGGGCAAATGTGCATATGTTATGTTGTCCAATAAGTGTGTTGTTTTTTTGAATGAGAATTTTCTGAGAATTTTCACAAAAAGATCCAGCTTTTCACAAAATTTTGTATGCCTTTAAACAAAATTGTCTGTTCTACAAAATGCGTTGCACGTCTTCCATATTCATTTAAGACAAATGACTGGATTACATTCTTGTGAATTGGGAAACAAAACAGTAAACGAAATTTAGGCAGATCGAAAACTAACTCAAACTCTACATTCCTCATGAAGAAATCAATCGGTAACTTGCCCTTTTCTTGAAGTTAATTTCTCTCCAGCATTCCAGTGTTGAACGCTCCATTGGGCCTTATCGTTCTTTCTTGAAATTCCACTTTTCTGAATAAGCGCTATACTGTCGCGGTTTCCTTACACCGGAACTTTTCCCCCCAAAGCTCAATGTTTCACGACACTTCTTACATCATCTGAAAGCGCTTCTTCTGCTCTACTCGAAATCATGTTCTGATATTTTCCACCATTACACTTTTTATAAAATTTTGGGCAGCGTAAAAATGTGTTCAGTCAATGCAAATGACGCCATTTCTTCAAATAAATTTCCCTCAAAAATGCGGAGCGATTGATCTGTAGTGTTCCCTGTACTGCGCTACCGTCAATCCTTAGCATTACGTCAGGTTTTCATTGCTTCGGCTATAAAACTTTAGGGTCTAGATTCGACGAGATAGAGACTATCGAGTTCTGATTGGATAACCAAATTTTAAAAAAGAATATTGGAGGGTCATACAGTGGAATCTCAAGGACAGTTTGAAGAAAAGGGTACTTTACCGATTGGCTTTGCGAATAACGTGAAGTTTGATTTAGTTGTCATTTTGGGTAAATTTCATCTACTGTGCATCCCACTTTACAATCCTGTAGATCAGTAATCTTACTACGTTCACGGAAGAAGAGCAATGGATTTGTAGATTAGACAGTTGTTTTCAAGAGATGTGGCATTTCACGAGAAGCTAGAGGCTTATTCGAAAAACCCCCAGTCAAGTTAAAACGACACCTCGTATCGGACAGCCTAATGCTAGAGACTGGAGCGCAGAAGCGAAGCTTGTGAATCGTACCCTTTTTGAACGCCTTCACAACAGGACTTCGTACAATTTCTTAAACAGGATTGAATGTTTTATATTGATCTTTTTGCATTTTTAAAATAAGTTCCCTTTCTGAACTGAAGTAATTTTGCATATAGAGGATTTAGCTTTCTCAAAAATGAATGCGAAGATTTTCTGAATATGGCATTTCAGCATCGACGAGAGTAATATTGGATCAGCCTTCAAGTAATACACGTTTTTATAATGCGCTCAAAAGTGCAAAAAACCGAGACAGCGCGAGGTAAGCAAACCAGCCCTTTTGGCGTTTCTGCTGGGGCCGTATGCTGAATGTTGGGGAGGGGATGGGGTCCCCGAGGTCGACGGACTACTTCAACTCGGTTGGTACGATAGGAGAGTACTGACGAAGTGGTGCAGCTGGTCCAGCAGCTCCGCCAGAAGGGCTGGTTTGCTCACCCCAGGACTAAGCCTTGGAGAGGGACGGACCCGTCCTCTCTTTAAGGCTTAGTTCTGAGGTAAGCACCAAATTGTGGCGGTTTTAAGGACCGAGTTGAAGTAGTCCGTCGACCGTCGGGGACCCATCCCCTCCCCAACATTCAGCATACGGCCCCAGCAGAAACGCCAAAAGGGCTGGTTTGCTTACTTAACTAGCGCTCGCATCCGGTCATGTTGATCGTGGTAATCTTAATCAGGTATTTTTTCCAGTTTCTAATGCAAGTTTTGAACTGGGACGTCTTACAGCTTTCTACAATGTATAGCATTGAAGTGGATTTGATCAGGGTCAACCACACGTTGCGCAGATTTCAAAATTTTTACGACCCTCTCCCTTTCAGAGAGTATTTGTACGACGTCCCCTGCATTGGCCATTGTGTCCTTTTACAGGTTTTAGGCCCATCATCGGTGTGTGGGCCGTCACCGACATGGAGAGGTGGTGGAACAGTGGTAAGTCCGCGCGCTTTGTCTCGCTCAGAGGACTGAGATCGAGACAGCATACAATTTTGCTCATTAATAGAAGCATCTTCCAACTTTTGCGTTAATTAGGCATGGAAGTAACCGCAGAGAGATTTATACTTTCAGGAAACAAACAAGTTTTTTTCGGACTTGCAATTCTCCTTTTTGCATGGAAGATGATTAGATGCAGCAATCATTTTACGATTCAAACTCTTCATTCAAAAGGTTCATATTTTCTCTTCAAAAGCGGTCCTAGGGTGGGATGCAAAAATTCAAAAATTTCAAACTAACTGTTCTCTGTGTCTAAATAGATTCAACTTACGTGAAATGTGTCAGTTTCCTTTAAAAAGCTTCCCCGTTGATGTTCGGCCGTTGTTTCCTTGTTTGTTGTGGCGGATTATGGGTTTTTAGGGGTCTGCATTTTAAGAACTTAATTAAGGCTCCTGTTTGCAGATTTATTTGTCAAAAGCGTTAGTTAGCTACTAGTTAGAAATCAGGACATCGACGCTTTATAAGAGATTCGCAAAGAATAACCCAGGTCTCATAGGGCCTTTTTGAAAAAATTCGGCCCCTCGGCGGTTCCGTTTTTTTCCCTCTATGACTTTTTAGGTCACTTTCCTAAACGCGACTTTTCAATCTTCAAACCCTCACATATTTCTACAAAACTAGTATGATGAGAAGCCGTAACAACAGTTACAGTCTACATAAAAAGTTCTTTATGGCGCCCGTGCCGTGGGCGTGATTTTTCTGAAAAATCCGTTCTCTGACTCACTCAGAATTCTCCTCAATAGGATACTAATTAGATGTGAATCAAGAAATTCGTTAGCCTTTTCGACAGTGGGTGTTGCGTCTGAAGCATCAAGGCTTCTTATAAGACACATTCGCGTACCAATTGTCAGCCACCGGGTGACTGACGGGCTTTAAATGGAATTTTTGAAAACAAAAGGAGGTCTTTGGGAGATTTTCTTTGCTGTGAAGAATCTTCATACCCTCATCTATCTAGGCCACCCCTGGGCAAAGGAAATCTCTATCCACTAGAATTTTATTGAAGAAAAAATAACCTGACTTCAAAATTTCACCGAAAAAGTTGAAAATTTTTTTTCGCTGAAACTTTTCCCATGGGGGTTTTCGAGGGTCCTGATCTCAAATATGATATCCATTTTTGGCGCTGGCGCCAAATTGGCGCCATTTGGCGCCAAGGGTGTATTCACCAAATTCGCTGTAAACTTGCGTATGGGGGTTATTTGAGGCCCTGATTACGAATATGACATTCGTTTTTGGCGCTGGCGCCAAATTGGCGCCATTTGGCGCCAGTTGGCGCCAAGGGTGTCTTCACCAAATTCGCTGTAAACTTGCGTATGGGGGTTATTTGAGGCCCTGATTACGAATATGACATTCGTTTTAGTCTTTGACGCTATTTGGCACCCCGGCCAATTGAAAATTTGACATGCTCTACGCGCGCCTTGGACCGCTGAGCTCGAATCTGCTTTCATTATCTGCCGAGCGCTTCTCCGAAAAGAATATGAAGTGGAAAGGCGCAGCGGCAGCGGTCTGTACGCAGAGACAAGGGGTCCTGAGATCAGCTCCCTGGCGAGCTTACTCTTTTTTTGCTTGCAGCAACATAGCTTTGAGGGTTACTGACACCGCTATTCCAACGTGCTTGCGTGTAGTTACCTGTTGAAAGAAATGAAGGGGCAGTGAATGACGAACATGGGGGTGCACGCGTGCTGGCTACTCTAGACCCTCTAAAGCAGGCACCAGGCACTTTCGTTTGAACAGGTGTGATTCGTAATCAGGGAGTCGTGCTCCCTATTTAGGCAACCTTTGGTCAAATCTGAAAATATTACCTAACGTCGAGCAGTTACTTACTTACTCACTTATCCGTCAAATCAGTACAAAATCCTTAAATTGTGATAGAATAACCTTTCCGAAAATACTTCAGAAAAATAAAAATAATATCTGGCTTGACCGTCTGCATTATTCCAGGATCTACAAGACCGCTTCCAAATACATCCCCCACTCTACCATTTCCCCTGTCGTCCATGACTGGTCAATTCTAGAATGCTGTTTGACGAGCGGTAACTTTGTGACTGCTTCGCTTTTTCTCAATTAGGTGGAAGCCTTAAGTTTGGCCAGAAACTCGTTTTGAGGGGTGTTTCATCTCATAAAAACGAATACCGTACCTATTTGCCACGGAAAAGCCTGGAATTGCACCACGTACTTCATGGGCACTCATAAGCATGTCGTGCTCAAACATCAGAGGACCCGCTTGCAAACTCTTCATAGATGTAGCAAGCGACCGTTGCCAAAATAGCGTATTCAAAAGACTTCTCAGCTGTTGACTAAAAAACAACACTTTGTAACGTTGCACCTTTCGGAAGCTGCACTGGTACTTTTTAGGAATCTTCACACTTCACGATCTTCACAGAATCTTCATTCTTCATTCAAATCTCAATAATTTGAACAAAACCGGACAATCGCAGTAAAAAAAGAAAATCAACAATATATACAAACAGCAAGTGCAGAGACTTCAAGGCTGACATTTTACATGAGAAACATTATAACAATCTAGACAAATATATTTTTTGCAACGGGAGCACTGGGTATTGACTCTTTTTACTTTTTTGCGCGCCAAGTCCCTGCCTATCGTCAACGCTAGTCTTTTGTAGCACCCAGAACAATTTTTGCGTGTGGCCGCCAAGGGTCCCTCCACTTTTTCCAAGACCTTTTGTGTCCCTGAAGCAATGTCACTTTGAGATACTTCCAATCCCAATAAACTCTCAGCAATCTGCGTCTGAAACTCGAGAGACGGCATTTTCGCGACTCTCTTATTGTACAACACCCAAGCGTTCACGATGGACGTCTGCAGCATCATGTGGAAGAAGAATCGCACGTACCATTTCGACGTCCTTCTCACAAAAGGGTTGTGGCGCTCATCTGGTCCAATCCTTTACTAGAACAGGGACATTGCACTTGTCCAGGTCGTCGCCGTGGCATGTTGACATGCAAAATACTGGGCGCTTGTCCCTCCACTGGATCACCGTGATCCCATCCTTGTGTTGGCAGGCTATGATTTCACCCCTTTTTAGTTTTCGCTGTGTCACTGCTTTTGGAAACCCTTTCCTGTTTTTCCTGAACGTGCCCACAAAATCAGTGTAATGGTTCAACAACTTCCTTGTGAGAGGCACTGACGAATACCAGTTATCGCAGTAAAGTTTCCTGCCGCAATCCAAATAACCGTTCATGAGTCTCATTACCACTGCTTCGGCGACGGAACCGCATTTGTCGTTGAGCTTGCCGCAATAAACCTCAACTTTGGATGTGTAGCCCCCTTCACAACAAAGCTTAAAAACCTTAATTCCGAACTTATGCTTTTTATTGGGAATATATTGCTTGAAGTAGAGGCGTCCTCTGAATGGTACAATAGATTCATCAATCGTCAGACATTTTCCAGGAATGCAGACTGTAGAAGCAGTATCATTGAAAGAGTCGAGTATCATTCTGATTTTGAACAACCGGTCTCCCACATCCTTTTCATCGTTATTGCAAAAGTGCAGATTCCCGAGAATAGCTTCAAATCTACTTCTAGTCATGATTGATCTACAAAGGGGAGTACCACCGTAGATCCTTCTCGACGACCAGTAGCTTCGCAGTGTTGGAAGTTTCACAATTCCCATATACATACACACTCCCATGAACTTCATGAATTCGTCGTATCCTACTTCCCCGAAAGAACTAGAACCTGTCAAGCCGTAGCGATTTGTTTCTAGAAGAATTGCATTTACTAAGCGATCGTTGAGAAACAATCTGTAGAACTCGACGGGCCGGATAGGAGGACCGACATCCATGTCGTCAAGAGGAGAAATTGGAGGGGGCTCAAATATGAACGGAGACAGAGAATCAACACGGAAAGACCAATCAGGATCATCGGGGACGGCATTTTCTTTATCTTCACTGTCTCCGTCGTCAGACGCACTTTCATCATCACTGTCCAGCAATAAGGCGCCCAGGCGAGATGTCAGATCGTTACAGGTACCTGATATCGTAACTATAGACTTCGTTCAAAAAAAACCAGAAATATAACAAAAGAAAAAAGATTTTATCCAGTTACGGGGGAGGCCATTGCGGCTTACAGCCAAACACATTTAGAAAATTCGTTATCAGGCCAATAAGGCTTTGTTATTGGAAGACTCCGGGGTATGTGATGGGTCCCCATTTTCTCCAAGGTTACTCGCTCCCTTTGACTTGACCCTAAAAAACCTACTGTAACTGTACCGTAACTCACAACAACTTTTTCGCCTAGTTACAAAAACTAGTGCGGCACACAATAAATCAATGGAATCGAGAAATAAGCTCCTCACCGCCCTAA